CAAGTTAAAGATGTGTTGCCTATATAATTATTGAATAATGTGTTTAAGACACATTATCTTGTGCCTTAGTATTCAGACTTTTTAAGTGGAGGGGTAGGGAGTACTGGCTCAAGTAACATCTAAAGTCTCTTCTACTTCTTTCACTGGCTGGGCCACATTTTTTTTTAAATCAGATTTTATTTAATTAATTTAATGTTTATTTATTTTGAGAGAAAGAGAACATGAGTGGAGGAGACACAGATAGACACAGAACCCGAGGCAGGATCTAGGCTCTGAGCTAGTAGTACAGACAGCAATGTGGGGCTTGAACCCACAAACCAGGAGATCATGACCTGTGCTGAAAACTGGATGCTTAATGGACTGAGCCACCCAGGTGCCCCAGGCTACCTGTTTTTGTAAATAAAGGTTTATTGGAACACAGCTACACTCACTTGTTACATAGTGTCCATGGTTGCTTTCATACTACAAGGGCAGAGATAAGTAATTGCAACGCAGACTGTATGGCCAGCAAGCCTAAAATATTTAATATCTGGCTCTTTATGAAAAGTCAACAATTGGTGTAATTAAAATAAAACAGGCAAAGAAAAGAAAAAGAAAACACATGAGCTCGGCAAAGTCTAGTTCCCTTAATAGTTCATCACATCTGCAAATTGTATTTCAAGCAAATAAAAGATCTCTAACAGGGGTGCCTGGCTGGCTGTTGCTGGAGCATGCAACTCTTGATCTCAAGCTCTTGAGTTCGAGCCCCACACCAAGGGCAGAGTTCACTTAAAAACAAAAGAAAAAATCATTAACAAAAATCACGTATTACCCAAAAAGTGTTTCCTTGTCAAACACAGTGTCAGCTGGCATATTCACAGGAATAAGGAGGTCTGGATGTGAATCGAAATGCACAAAGCTTATATTACTGGCAGGAAGATGCTTTGAGCCAATGGCCCGGTATATGTAAGGCAGGACCTGTAAAAACACACGCACACATTCAGAATGGGCACTGAAATCATGAGCATCCGCTCAGCTGCAGGCTGAGAAACAAGGCTAAACGTAGCCGCCCGGAATTCGAAGCGCACCGAATCGTTAAACGGTAGGCAAATACAAAATCTGTTCGTCCTAGGTGGGTTTAGATAACGTTCTCCAGCTTTTTTCCCTCAGAAGTTCCAGGTTGCTCCTCCAAAGGCCTTAATGGGCATCTCTTGCTGCCATCTCGCCCCCAACACAAACTCGGAAGATGAAGCGGGTAAACAGATGGGCTCTCAGGAAAAAAACGGGTAATGAAGACACATTCTGGCATTAAGGGTGTGTTCAAGCCACCCTGGGTCTCCTGGCCTTCCACACCTTAGGATGGTGGAGCCGGGCTAGGTAGCCTGTCAAGCTCTGTGGCTCTAGATTTAAACCGGAAGTGGACAGCACCGCTTAACCCACCCTTGGCTTTTGCTCGGGTCCATACACTCTATCTCTAGGTCCTGGGAAACCCAACTTCCCGCCTCTCCTCTTAACTTTCTCCATCCATAAATCCGGAGCCCACTCCTTCCCTCTTTCATATCCGGATAATCCCCAAGGTCTACGAATTAAAAAAAAAAAAAAAAAAAGTCTTAGATGCATGATCCTCCCTCATAGGCTTCCAGAAGACCAGATAAAGGCACCATTTTAGCTACTCCAAAGTAGCACTGCCATAAAAAATAGAAAATACCTTCGGTGTTTACAAACGCAGGGCTCTGTGTTAGAAGATTTATAAGGAAGCTTTTTAATGTTTATTTTTGACAGAGAGAGAGCGCGAGAGAGCGAGCGAGAGACAGAACGCAAGCGGGGGAGGGCTAGAGAGGGAGCGAGACGCAGAATCCGCATCAGGCTCCAGGCTCAGCGCTGCCCGCACAGAGCCCCAGGCGGGGTTGAACCCCGAGATCGTGACCTGAGCCCAAGTCGGATGCTTAACCGACTGGGCCACCCGGGCCACCCCATATTAAAGGATTTATGTACACACCCAGCACACAATAATAGCAGCGGCCCTAAGGGTGCTAAGGTGATGGTCCCGTTTCACAGATGACAGCCCACATTCTTTGCTAAAACCTTCCCACCTACACGGCAGGACTGTGTTGGAGACGCCAGGGAGAGCTGGAAGCCTCCGTTAAGAAGCAGGTTAAGGACACGGGACTCTGCAGTCAGAATACTCAGGTTCGAAGCCCGACGCCACCAGTTGTTGGTTGCGGGATTTCTGGGCAAATCGCGAGGGTTAAATGAATTGCCCGACGCATACTCAGCGAACCATAAATGTCAGGGCCTGTTCCTCCCAGTTAGTCATTTTGGTGTTTTTTCCCCACAGCAATGGAACTCGCGCGGGTAACAAATTCCGATTATCTCCGGCCTTCGATGCCGAGGCTCCGCCGCCTCCCGGGCCCTCACGCGATTCTGCCTCAGGACCCAGCAGTCGCCGGCTCACCTCCTGGTGATCCTCCACGACCCACACTGGGAGTTTGGAGTAGCGCCGGAGGCGAGCGCGGTCTCCCACAGAGTCTGCGCTCATGGTTTCCCAGTCAGCGTCCTCGCCAGCCGCAGTGCTGAGGCTAGGACTCCCGAAAGCGGGAGCTGCGGCCTCACAGACCCTCCCGGGTGGAAATGCGCGCTCACCCGGTTGTGGTTCCTTATTGGAAGATGTAGAGGACAGGGGGCGGGCGCCGAGGGGTTATACAAAGACTATTGGCTTAATTATCCATCGCTCTAGTTGACGGACCAATCACTGCGCACAAGGCCCTGTGGCCAGCCCAGAAGCTTTCTCTGTAGAGGTCCAGCTTTCTCCGGTTTGCTTTTTAATTTCCTCGGTTTCCTGTTCCGGAGGCGCGGGAGGCGCTACAGTCCTGGCGGCTGTAGAATAATCCTAGCTTTGCTTTGACGGCAACCTCGCGGCGCGAGAGCCTTTTGTAGGTAAAAGGGGCAACTTGTGGGTGTTGGGAGAGGGAGCGTTTCCGAGTGTCCGGGTTTAAACGGGGCTAAGAGTCCGGGGCTGGGGCGAGAGCCGCCTTTGAGTTATGGTCGTGCAGCCCCTCTTCAGTTCTGCAGCTAAGGGCAAAAAAGCGACCCTAGGCCCGAATCCCGCAAATAGAAATGAAAAATGAGACCTTTCATTCATTTGTGGAACGCAGGCGGTGGTCCAGGCCCGGGGCTGCCGGGGTCTCGGAGTGCCGCGAGACCCTGAGCCCAGCGCTTGCCTCGTGGGGCTCACAGTCTGGCGGGAGATGCAAACAGGGGAAACCGCAACTACAGATGAGCTCGACGAAGGTGACCGGCCTGCAGATGCAAGTGCGGGGAAAGGTGTTCTTAATAACGTAGTTGCGCACTATGCAACTCTTTGAGCATAGGCTGATGTTCCTGGTCGTGTTAACTGTACAAAGCGGTTCCCTCAGTTTTCCTGCTTCCAGACAAGCAGTCTAGGAGTAGACCTACGTCGCAAACAATTACTTTTCCAGTTGCAGTGAATCCCTTGACTTTTGAATTAAAATTTGCATCCATAAGATAGCCCGACTATGCCTTTAATATGTCAGTTTCATAATTAGTATTTTCAGATATTCTCTCCATAGAAACATCCATGAGGATCTAATCCTGAAAGTATAACTATTACACACTGTCCAACAGTGTTAGTGTTCGTTTCGCACCTCTAGGTTCAGTACACTCCTTTGTATTCCTCTAGACGCTGTGTTGAAATCTTTTCTCTTGTTTATTGCTTTATTTAAGGAAAATGTATTTGTAAGTGGATTGAGAGCTTGAGTCTTGCAGGCTGTGTGTCTTACTCAACTTTGAGTCTGTGGGGCCTGTGACATGTATAGGCTCATTGAATATTGTATGAATCAGTGAAAAGGTCCACTCTTTGGTTTTGATAATGCAAATCTGTGCTGGATATATGTGAAAGGGAAATGTACAGTAGCAAGTAGAAACATATGCCATTGGTGAGATAGTAAACATTTATTGACCACCTATGTGCAGGATTTTCTGCCAGGAGCTGTGAAGGATACAGAAATGACTTATGAATCAACCCATGTCCTCAAGGAGCTAATAACCTAGTGGAGAAGTTAGAAATGTACACACATGACTATAATATGAGGCAGTCTCTGGTAAGTGCTGTAAAAGAACTAAGTATGGACTAAGCAATGGTAGTCTAGGGGGAGTGGGATTATTTTCTAAAGGGAACTAGGCAAGGCTTCCCGGAAGAGGTGGCATTTGTAGGCAGATGAAAATTCAGTGGGCAGATTAATATGAGTAGGGAATTTTAGAAGAGTGGGAGCAAAGAACAAGCTGGCTGATAGCACCTGGTATGTTAGGCAACTGGGGAAATCTGGGATCATAGGCACTTCACAGGGAAGGTAATGGAGGATAAGCCTGCAAGAAGTTGGGTCCAAACTTGGAGTTTGAATTTGATTCCATTGGCCGTGAACCATAAGTAGCCTGTGGTGGCAAGATCAACTGGGTAGGTCCTGGGTTTATCATGAAGGTCTTAGCCTGAATAATAATCATAAGTCAGACCATATTTCATGCCTACTAGTTATTAAGCACAGTGATTGGCACTGCTATATAATCTGAAATTATTTTCGTGAGCCTTTTGAAAATCTACCTTAAGCCTATTGGTAAAGCTTTTAGTTAGATAGACTTTGAGAGGATGCTTCTGCATTAAAGTTCTTTGCACTTAATATTTATATATTTAGTTTTTAAAACCTTTTGCTGAAGCTTAAGTATTTGGAAAGCCGTTCATGTTCACAGAATTCTTCAGTGGAAAGAGTTGAGAATGAAATCAAGGATAACTGTTGTGTTTACAAAGTTATTTTGTTAGTATGCTAAGTGCATTAGAGAATGCAAAAATCAATGTTAAGATAATTGCGGACATTAGCAGTTTGGGAAACATTTTTATGTGTATTTTATTCTTTCTGTTCTCTCTGTTCTGTTTTATTCTTTCTGTTCTCCCTATTCTTTCTGTTCTGTTCTCTAGAGTTTATATTCTCTGTGGAAGATGTGACGTATCCAGACAGTACGTCATGATGCAAGGCAATACGTGGTGAGTAGTGTGACAGTCATGGCAGGGGTTTTGGAAGAACAGAGAGAAGAAGAGAAACACTGGCACTGGGCCCTGAGAGTGGGAAGGATTTATATATGTGGGGAGAGGAAGAAATGTGTTCATGAGGGCCATGTACATAGTTAGGAATCCAGACTGCCCTGATGGAACTTACAGTTCTGAGGTGCAGGCAAACATGAAAGGTGGAATTAATTGTGAATTGGAATTACTGTAGGAGCTGCCAAGGAGAAGCACAGAGGGTGAGAGCAGGGAGCCTGACAAAGGCCTGGTAGGTTGGTAATAGTGATTGGAGAAAGGCCAGCAGTGGTGTTATTATTGTAGCCAGGGGAGAAACGATGATGTGAAGTGGATGAACTCCGGAAGTATTTATGAAGTAGAAGTGATGGGAATTTAAAATAAATTTTTGGCTAAGGGGGATAAGGGAGGAGAAGTTGTCAGATAATTCCCTGGTGTATGACTTGAGGAACAATACATGTTATTTATTGAGATAGGCAACACTGAAGCGGGAGCCAGTGGTATTGTCTTGGCGGGGAAGGTCATTAATTCCTTTTGGGACATGTTATGTTGAATTTGCAGGGTCTCTGCTGAGTGTGGAGGAAGGTGAAGACGGGGAGATACTGGTGCAGGTGGAGAAAATGTGGGGTGTGTGGGTGGGATGACATGGCAAAGTTCACACTTTTGGGGAGCCTGAGCGAGGACATAATAGCAAACGTTTAAACAATGGGATGTCTCGAGGAACAGCTTTAGGGAGTGACGGAGTCCAGGGATTGAGACAGGGGAAGAGGAGTTTATTGGCCTTGAGGAGTCTGAGGTGTTACAGAGAACTCAACGTTAGATGGGTGGAATATTCCTGTGGCTGAAGGGGTCTGTCAGTTGCTCTTGAAGATGATCAGGCATTGTGAAACCCAGCTTATGGTGAGTTTTTAGTTCTTTTTCCCTTCTCTCTTTTTCTTTCCTCCCACAAAGTCATAGGATGTCGTTCCACCCAGGACGAGGGTGTCCCCGAGGGCGAGGAGGACATGGAGCCAGACCCTCAGCCCCAGCCTTCAGGCCCCAAAATCTGAGACTACTTCACCCTCAGCAGCCTCCTGTGCAATATCAATACGAACCTCCAAGTGCCCCTTCCACCACATTCTCGAACTCTCCAGCTCCCAGTTTTCTCCCTCCACGACCAGACTTTGTACCCTTCCCTCCACCCATGCCTCCGTCAGCACAAGGCCCTCTTCCCCCCTGCCCTATACGACCCCCCTTCCCCAACCACCAGATGAGGCCCCCCTTCCCAGTGCCTCCCTGTTTTCCTCCTATGCCGCCTCCGATGCCCTGTCCTAATAACCCGCCAGTCCCTGGAGCACCTCCAGGACAAGGCACTTTCCCCTTCATGATGCCCCCTCCTTCCATGCCCCATCCCCCACCACCTCCAGTCATGCCACAGCAGGTCAATTATCAGTACCCTCCAGGATACTCACACCATAATTTCCCACCTCC